CGGATCTGTGACCTTGTGGTCAGCAGATCGTCACACAATATCCACTCAGCCACCGACTACACGAAAAAAATGCCGTAAACTCCCAAAGAATGAAGCCAAGCGTTGCTTATAAGTCCCTAAGTTTACAACTAGTTTACACACAGCTGAACCATGCAGCTGTGCGTGACTTGTAGTTTCTTCAACTTGTAAGGTAATCCCCCACAAGCTGATCCTTCAAGCTGGTGGTAACCCGGAAGACAGGCAGCTTAACCTTTACTAATTTATAAGCTGTTAAGATGTTATAAAGTTCTTGACAAAGTTTTATTATTTGTTGATATATATATATATATATATATATATATATATATATATATATATATATATATATATATATATATATATATATATATATATATATATATAAGAAGGTACAATGGGTTGTGAAAGAGCATACATTGGTACTTGTGTGGTACAATCTTACAAAGTTACCAATGGTCGTGTTAAGAATGGAAGGAAGTGAGGGGAAGGAAGTGAGGGAAAAAGGTGAGGGGGTAGGAGGTGAGGGAAGGAAGTGAGGGAAGAAAGTGAGGGAAGGAAGTGAGGGAAGAAAGTGAGGGGTGAAGGAGATGAGGCTAATTACTTCACTTGGGCTGGAGCTCATTTAGACCATTAACTCGTTAACTTAACATATTCTTAAAGCCATTTTATTTAAGTCACATATAAAGAATTTTTATTTTATTTTAATATCTTATATTTGAATAACGTTTGAGTTATTTCTATTCATTGAGATTAAAGTTCCTTAAGTTTAAAAGTACGATAAGGTAGATAACACACCACAATATCAACTTAATGATATCCCAAGCGCAGATTGGGTAGTTACGGTGCTATAGAAGCTTCCAGAAGAGTAATTTAGTGTCATTTTTATATCATTTTTTACTCCCATATGGGTAGTAGAGAAACAGTCCAAGAAACAAACAGAAACAAATGAATAACTAAGCAACAACAGCATGAAAAAAGAAACAAAATAAAGAAAGGTGGATATTGAAGAATGTTTTTTGTCATGAGACCGTTCAAAGACCTGTCTGTCTGTCTGTCTGTCTGTCTGTCTGTCTGTCTGTCTGTCTGTCTGTCTGTCTGTCTGTCTGTCTGTCTGTCTGTCTGTCTGTCTGTCTCTCTCTCTCTCTCTCTCTCTCTCTCTCTCTCTCTCTCTCTCAAGAAGAAGAAGAAACCATCTTTCTCCCCTCTTCCTCTCGGCTAAACCCGTCATGGCTAACACCAACCACCACAGTCTGCTGCCTCACCCTCTAATGGAACAACAAACAGACCTCTGTCTTGCTCTGAAAAAAAAAAATGGAGCAAAATCACCTGATAATTCCCCATCATACAGCATTCAACATTATTATCGAGGAATATAGCATTAAAGTAGGCAAGAATGGTCTCTTTCATTTTATACTATAAAAAGGTAGCTTTTGTGTAGATAAATCCTTATTAAAAAAGGCTTGAATAATGCTCTCCGAGGAGCATGTCCTCGTCTCATGCAGCATCACGAACGAGGGCAGGCAGGATCATGCTGTCCTCGTCTCATGCAGAATCACGAACGAGGGCAGGCAGGATCATGCTGTCGTCATGGTAACCAATATCGTGGCATGGTAAGCATGCAATGTGTCGCAGAAATATATGCCGCCGAAATGATCGCCTGACCTGAAACTTCCCCCAATTATTACTCCCCAACAGCCTATATTAAAGGGGCTTAAAAGCCTTCGCCACGTGCGTAAAGAAGGATTGACGGCGAGGGATATCGTAGGTAACGTGATCGGAATCTCACATCCTGCTCAGCGTTAGGATGAAGGATTCAGAGAATCAATGTGACGAGCATCAAGGATTTTATATAATAATACCCGGCTAATACTTCCTTTCACTGGTCGCCTGTGTTAGGGAACCAGGAAACTGTTTTATTTGCAGGCAGAGGTGCAGGCAGAGGTGCAGGCAGAGGTGCAGGCAGCGGTGCAGGCAGAGGTGCAGGCAGAGGTGCAGGCAGAGGTGCAGCCAGAGGTGCAGGCAGAGGTGCAGGCAGAGGTGCAGGCAGCGGTGCAGGCAGAGGTGCAGGCAGAGGTGCAGGCAGAGGTGCAGGCAGAGGAGCAGGCAGAGGTGCAGGCAGAGGAGCAGGCAGAGGTGCAGGCAGAGGTGCAGGCAGAGGTGCAGGCAGCGGTGCAGGCAGAGGTGCAGGCAGAGGTGCAGGCAGAGGTGCAGGCAGAGGAGCAGGCAGAGGTGCAGGCAGAGGAGCAGGCAGAGGTGCAGGCAGAGGTGCAGGCAGAGGTGCAGGCAGAGGTGCAGGCAGAGGTGCAGGCAGAGGAGCAGGCAGAGGTGCAGGCAGAGGTGCAGGCAGAGGTGTAGGCAGAGGTGTAGGCAGAGGTGCAGGCAGAGGTGCAGGCAGAGGTGCAGGCAGAGGAGCAGGCAGAGGTGCAGGCAGAGGTGCAGGCAGAGGTGCAGGCAGAGGTGCAGGCAGAGGTGCAGGCAGAGGAGCAGGCAGAGGTGCAGGCAGAGGTGCAGGCAGAGGTGTAGGCAGAGGTGCAGGCAGAGGTGCAGGCAGAGGAGCAGGCAGAGGTGCAGGCAGAGGTGTAGGCAGAGGTGCAGGTAGAGGTGTAGGCAGAGGTGCAGGCAGAGGTGTAGGCAGAGGTGCAGGCAGAGGTGCAGGCAGAGGCGCAGGCAGAGGTGCAAGCAGAGGAGCAAGCAGAGGTGCAGGCAGAGGTGCAGGCAGAGGTGCAGGCAGAGGTGTAGGCAGAGGTGCAGGTAGAGGTGCAGGCAGAGGTGCAGGCAGAGGTGTAGGCAGAGGTGTAGGCAGAGGTGCAGGCAGAGGAGCAGGCAGAGGTGCAGGCAGAGGTGCAGGCAGAGGTGCAGGCAGAGGTGCAGGTAGAGGTGCAGGCAGAGGTGCAGGTAGAGGTGCAGGCAGAGGTGCAGGTAGAGGTGCAGGCAGAGGTGCAGGTAGAGGTGCAGGCAGAGGTGCAGGCAGAGGTGCAGGCAGAGGTGCAGGTATAGATTCAGGCAGAGGTGCAAGCAGAGGAGCAAGCAAAGGTGCAGGCAGAGGTGCAGGTAGAGATGCAGGCAGAGGTGCAAGCAGAGGAGCAAGCAGAGGAGCAAGCAGAGGTGCAGGCAGAGGTGCAGGTAGAGATGCAGGCAGAGGTGCAAGCAGAGGAGCAAGCAGAGGTGCAGGCAGAGGTGCAGACAGAGGTGCAGGCAGAGGTGCAGGCATCGGTGCAGGCAGAGGTGCAGGCAGAGGTGCAGGTAGAGATGCAGGCAGAGGTGCAAGCAGAGGAGCAAGCAGAGGTGCAGATAGAGGCGCAGGCAGAGGTGCAAGCAGAGGCGCAGGCAGAGGTGCAAGCAGAGGAGCAAGCAGAGGTGCAAGCAGAGGTGCAGGCAGAGGTGCAGGCAGAGGAGCAGGCAGAGGTGCAAGCAGAGATGCAGGTAGAGATGCAGGCAGAGATGCAGGCAGAGATGCAGGCAGGTGGGGGGAGGGTGCGACCCATGGAACGCAAGCAAAATGAACTATACAGGTACAAACGACACAAACTTGATAATAATGAGGTCGAATGCGCTTCATCACCTGAGTCCTTTGTTGTTGAGATCAGACGTGATTAGGAGGTTCAGGGGATAGTTTCTGACGTCAACAGGTATAGTGCAAAAGGAGGGATGGTTGCTGATGCAAGCAGGCAATACACAGAACTATTACCAAAAGCTTTACTACAGCGAGAAACGCCTCAAAAAATTAACTTATTGAGAGCTGTAAATCATCTGTAGTTATGAGTTCAGACAACTGATGGCAGTCCAGAACGGAGCGCCCAGGACAGGCGTCATTAGCGTACAAGACAAAGAGCAGCGGCATAATACTGGAAGAGCTTGAAATTATAGTCGTCGAAATAGCTCGCTGATCAATACAGAAGAGCCAGCAGCTGGAAGATTGACTCGCTGAGGTAGAAGGAGGTAAATACTGCCATTCTCACGCATCTGGCAACGGTAGCTTTAAGCCCAGTCGACGCGGGAGACGGTTAAAAAATACTTTCTAATCCTGAATTCCTCTCGAATACACAAGAGGGATGAAGCCGATCTCTATATAGGTGTAAATATTCTCAAATCATAGTTTAGTGGTGCACTTTGTTCAAGTATGTGATAGGGTTAGAGCCTTAGTCTTAGTATGTGATAGGGTTAGACCCTTAGTCTTAGTATGTGATAGGGTTAGAGCCTTAGTCTTAGTATGTGATAGGGTTAGAGCCTTAGTCTTAGTATGTGATAGGGTTAGACCCTTAGTCTTAGTATGTGATAGGGTTAGAGCCTTAGTCTTAGTATGTGATAGGGTTAGACCCTTAGTCTTAGTATGTGATAGGGTTAGACCCTTAATCTTAGTATGTGATAGGGTTAGAGCCTTAGTCTTAGTATGTGATAGGGTTAGACCCTTAGTCTTAGTATGTGATAGGGTTAGACCCTTAGTCTTAGTATGTGATAGGGTTAGACCCTTAATCTTAGTATGTGATAGGGTTAGAGCCTTAGTCTTAGTATGTGATAGGGTTAGACCCTTAATCTTAGTATGTGATAGGGGTCTGCTGCTAGTTCTTCTTTTGTAGTCGTTATAGGGAGGTTGTTTTCCTTCATCGTGTACTGGCCTTTCTGGCCTCCTGCCTCCTGTTTACATATCCATCACCTTACACTTGCGGGCGTTGAACTCCAGCAGTCAATTCTCAAATTTCCTAAACATTTCCTATATATTCGCCTGCCCTTTTTTCGTAACTTGGTCACTCTTTCCGCCCATCTTTTTATATTTATATTATATTTATATTTTTATTATATATTCCTGATTCCTGTTTCCTCCACTCCCTCCGTTTTGGCTTCTTGGCGCTGTCTATTAAACCATGGGGTTATTATCGTCTTTCCTTGCTTTTTCTCTTATTGCTGGTATGAACTTCTCTTCTGTCTCTTTGTATCTCAATTTAGCTTGTTCCATCATTTCCTGGACCCGTCTTCTCTTTAAGTTATACACTTCCCAGATACTCTCTGACCTTCATGCAATTCCCCTGTCTACTCCCACTTTTAAATGGTCTGCTTCCACTTTCCAAGGGTCTGCTTCCACTTTCCAAGGGTCTGCTTCCACTTTCCAAGGGTCTGCTTCCACTTTCCAAGGGTCTGCTTCCACTTTCCAATGGTCTGCTTCCACTTTCCAAGGGTCTGCTTCCACTTTCCAAGGGTCTGCTTCCACTTTCCAAGGGTCTGCTTCCACTTTCCAAGGGTCTGCTTCCACTTTCCAAGGGTCTGCTTCCACTTTCCAAGGGTCTGCTTCCACTTTCCAATGGTCTGCTTCCCCTTTCCAAGGGTCTGCTTCCATTTTCCAAGGGTCTGCTTCCACTTTCCAAGGGTCTGCTTCCACTTTCCAATGGTCTGCTTCCCCCTTCCCTGCCCACAAGTCTTATGGGCACTGTTTTAAGTTCGATCATATAGTCAGCTACCAGGACACACAGATCACTGGTTCGGTTAATTAAGCTTGGCTTTATCACGTGGTTACCTTTCGTTAAGTAAGCTTTCATAACGTAGAAGAATGTACTTGAAGTTATGGTCAGTATATATATATAAGATGAATAGGAAAACCAGGGATATACTGAACATCTTGTTTCAGATTCTTTACTTTAAAATGCATAACGTTTCGAATACTTCTCGTATTCATCATCAGATCTAAAAGAAAAAACAGAAATCACAATCAAATAACTGGTAAACAAAGAACTCATACTGAATATAATTGCCTATCAAAGAAAGGAAAATGCTTAAAAAACAAAACACTTAAGCGCACTTAAAAGTGATCAATATAAATAAAACTTATTAACTGTCACATATATTAAAGCTAATTTAAAAATACATTAAACTACAAGATGAATTTTATAACTACCAAAACAAACCATTCTATTAAACTTAAGTAAAGTGATTAGAAGTGAAACTCGATACCTAACACATAGATACTAAACACTATAACAAATATTTATATAATGACTAGAAATCTACAAAAAATGTATGTAAAATACAAACAGAATAAACAACAATTATAAAGTACTAACCAAAATCTTATAAAAAACTCAAATATTAAATAAAATTTAATACCAAAAAATGTATTATATATCCGAAATAAAAGATTATATTAATGTACAATGTCAAGACTTGAAATAAGTAAGAAAGGGCAAAGACATGGTAAACTAAACAAAATTATAATAAAATTAAACTACCAAAATGAACTATAAATCAAATTACAGGGCCTACTGTGCACTATACAGTGTACAATTGAACAGCTGAAAGGTTGCTATTTAACAGAGGCCGCAGCTCCTTTATATATAAGGATTCCATTACTCTCAAATCTGACTGGCCATTCATACAAGTGTCCAGAATTTTAAAATCAGATTCCAGCAGAGAATGATCAAACTCATAACAATGGTTTCTAATCTCCGAAAATGCTGGTTTAGACAATGGTAATCCAGTCCTAAAAGATAATCCCCGGTGCTCAAGTATCCTAATCTTAAAGTTCCGAATGGAACTCCCGATATATCCAGCATTACAGCTGGAACAATTATACATATATACGACATTTGAGCACAAGGGGGTAGGCACTTTATCTTTAAATTTAAAATAAGAGCCTATGGTATTTGTGTTGACAAAAATAAATCTAAAGTCTACTTGAGGATAACACTGCTGCAACAGTCTCCTCAAACGACTCCTTACAGAAAAGCTAATACTGCCATAAAATGGTAATTTAATATATTTAAGATCCCTTTCCACTGTAGTAATCCTACACGATGGGTGAAACTTCTTATTTAAGAAATTCCTTCTAAAGGTATAAACCATATGCAAAGGATAACCATTATTTGAAAAAAATTTCACAAGAAAATTAATTTCTTGATCAAAGTTATTCCAATTAGAACATAAAACAAAGGCCCTATTCAGTAGAGTGTTAATTGCATTTTTCTTAAAAATATCAGGAACAAAAGAATTAAAATTTAAACCTAAACCAGTAATGGATGTTTTCCTAAAAACATTAGTGTTGAACCCATTAAGGTTATTCACTTTTACATCAAGAAACGACAATGAATTATCAACTTCACACTCTGCAGTAAACCGTATATTACTATGTTGTGCATTAAGATACTCTCTAAATTTCTCAATATGACATTGGTCCTTAAATAACAAAAAAGTGTCATCTACATATCTCCTGTACAAGACTGGTTTAATGGCCGAAGGACAATTATCAAGCCAATTTATTTCATGAAAGCTCAAAAAAGCATTAGCCAGTGCAGGACCTAAAGGAGACCCCATTGCTACTCCATCAATTTGTTTATAATATTTATTATTAAACATAAAGATGGAGTCTTTAACTGCTATTTCTAACAGCCGTCTGAATATTTTACTACAAAATCCAGACACTAAGTTAGTGTCAGCAAATAATTGGTTTACACAGATATCAATGGTTTCCAACAAAGGAAACCTAATCTTAAAGGAATTTTAAGATTAGGATACTTGAGCACCGGTGATTAACTTTTAGGACTGGATTACCATTGTCTAAACCAGCATTTTCGGAGATTAGAAACCATTGTTATGAGTTTGATCATTCTCTGCTGGAATCTGATTTTAAAATTCTGGACACTTGTATGAATGGCCAGTCAGATTTGAGAGTAATGGAATCCTTATATATAAAGGAGCTGCGGCCTCTGTTAAATAGCAACCTTTCAGCTGTTCAATTGTACACTGTATAGTGCACAGTAGGCCCTGTAATTTGATTTATAGTTCATTTTGGTAGTTTAATTATATTATAATTTTGTTTAGTTTACCATGTCTTTGCCCTTTCTTACTTATTTCAAGTCTTGACATTGTACATTAATATAATCTTTTATTTCGGATATATAATACATTTTTTGGTATTTAATTTTATTTAATATTTGAGTTTTTTATAAGATTTTGGTTAGTACTTTATAATTGTTATTTATTCTGTTTGTATTTTACATACATTTTTTGTAGATTTCTAGTCATTATATAAATATTTGTTATAGTGTTTAGTATCTATGTGTTAGGTATCAAGTTTCACTTCTAATCACTTTACGTAAGTTTAATAGAATGGTTTGTTTTAGTAGTTATAAAATTCATCTTGTAGTTTAATGGATTTTTAAATTAGCTTTAATATATGTCACAGTTAATAAGTTTTATTTGTATTGATCACTTTAAGTGCGCTTAAGTGTTTTGTTTTTTAAGCATTTTCCTTTCTTTGATAGGCAATTATATTCAGTATGAGTTCTTTGTTTACCAGCTATTTGATTGTGATTTCTGTTTTTTCTTTTAGATCTGATGATGAATACGAGAAGTATTCGAAACGTTATGCATTTTAAAGTAAAGAATCTGAAACAAGATGTTCAGTATATCCCTGGTTTTCCTATTCATCTTAAAATTAAGATTCCCGAAGGGAACATCGATCATAAATATATATATATATATATATATATATATATATATATATATATATATATATATATATATATATATATATATATATATATATATATATTGGTGTATACTGGCAGCAGGTTTTCTTTCAAACATGTTTCATTGAATATGACCGCATATTCTGTATTTATTATTTTCTGGTTTAGGGCTTCTATCCCTCTAACTATTTTCTTAGCATCAGGGCTTAATTGAAATAGGAGTTCTCCAAAACTCATTTTCGTACTTTAAAGGTGAAGAAAAGAAGTGATTTACTATAGAGTGTATTACACTTATTTGTATAATTTGCACGACGTTTCGAACCTCCATGGTTCATTCTCAAGTGAACAGATCTTACAATACTAGTTGATTTTATACCCGCATTAGGTCAGGTGATAATACAATGAAGGTGAAAACATGGGGGGATACATAAGGGATAAACATAGGGGCTGCAGAAGGCTTATTGGCCCATACGAGGCATCTCCTATCTAAACACAAAGATTAATCCAGTGTAATTGGCCTGTTATGTTGGACATTGTCTTCTGTGTTGGCATCGATATGTTCTTGTCTTGTCCTTACTCTCATGGTGTAAGGACAAGACAAGAACATGAGAGTAAGGACAAGACAAGAACATATCGATGCCATCACAGAAGACAATGTTCAACATAACAGGCCAATTACACTGGATTAATCTTTGTGTTTAGATAGGAGATGCCTCGTATGGGCCAATAAGCCTTCTGCAGCCCCTATGTTTATCCCTTATGTATCCCCCCATGTTTTCACCTTCATTGTATTATCTCCTGACCTAATGCGGGTATAAAATCAACTAGTATTGTAAGATCTGTTCACTTGAGAATGAACCATGGAGGTTCGAAACGTCGTGCAAATTATACAAATAAGTGTAATACACTCTATAGTAAATCACTTCTTTTCTTCACCTTTAAAGTACGAAAATGAGTTTTGGAGAACTCCTATTTCAATTAAGCCCTGATGCTAAGAAAATAGTTAGAGGGATAGAAGCCCTAAACCAGAAAATAATAAATACAGAATATGCGGTCATATTCAATGAAACATATATATATGTATATATATATATATATATATATATATATATATATATATATATATATATATATATATATACATACGAAAAGAATTGGGGTGGTAAGAAGGGAAAGGGAAAATTATCAAAGGAAAGCCCGAAGCCATTACGATTATATAGCACTTGGAAGGGATCAGAATAAGGATTTGGGATTGGACGGGGGGGGGGGAGGGAATGGTGTCCAACCACTTAGAAGGTCGGGGATTGAACACCGACCTACATGAAGCGAGACCGTCGCAATGTTCAGTGAGAAACCACAAGGTCTTCTCTAAATACTGTTTATTTTCTTCTCCGAGGCTATGGGTCCCTACAGTTGCACTCTCATACCTTGTTATATATAAATATATATATCAAACTAAATAACAATTGTTCTTGCAATAACAACAACGAACAGGAAGCTGAATTAAAACATCATCCACTAAAATAATAATAATAATAATAATAATAATAAATTCAACATTTACGAACCACTAACGAGAAAGACTGACATACACCAAACAAATTTCTGGTTAACAAAATCCCAAAACAACACTTCGCACGATGCTTGCAACGTCAATGGAAAATCAACGGTGATTTATAGCTTATTGACGCCTAACTGAGGGAAATTATTCTGCACCCGGAAATCCGCAGTCAAAACACGTATACGTCGCTCCATCAACTACACCACAATGTACACGTGTACGTCAAACACCAACATCTACACGACAATGTTGCATCTGTACGTCAACGTCTGTACAGTGACGTGTGAACGCCGAGGACCAGGGACCCTTATAAACTTATGAAGTAATAACGCAGGAATATTACACCAGGAATTCCCGGAAGAGAAATGAGAACGCGCGGAAATGGCTTTTTATGAGTAAAATATCCACACGCAGGTTTATGAGG